ACTCTGTCCTGTTAGTGGGTCACTTCAGACTGAACTACCCAAACAGCACCTCAATGCTTTTTCCACAGAAGACTTTAAAAGTCATGTGGTTTCCCGGGGAGGGGGGGTGTCAGCAACTGCCAACTGTGTGCACCACAGGGTCTTGCGACTGCCCCGACAATGCTACCTCACTTCCACACCAGAAGAAATAGTGCAGCACTGAGGAGGAAATTCAGGGAGGCGGGGGTCAGTTAGTCTGTGGTGTGTCCAGTGTATCTAGATTAGAGGGGCTGGAGAGATGGCTCATCAGTTTAGGGCACTTGTTGCCCTGGCAAAGGACCTGGGTTAGTGGTCTATCACCATCCTAACTTCAGTCCCAGGGAATCAAATGCCTTCTCCTGACCTCCACAGGCACCAGGCACACACATAGCGCATATACATACAAACAGGCAAAGCATTCATACACATAAAATAAATCTTTAAAAAACCGGTGTGCCTAGGTTACGAGGATTTCATATTGCCTTCTCTACAGAGTTTAAATGCAGAGAAAGTTTATTAATGAAGGCTTATTTTTCACAACACACCCGCTACAATAGTAAGAGAAGGTAGCATGAAAACTAACTCAAGTGACGTTTGCTTTCATCCAACTGCAGAACAAGCCAGAGGGTCAGCAGGTGGCTCTGCTTCCCAAACCGCACTTGCTGGACATGGGCAGAGCAGCCTTCAGGGAGTATGTCCAAACCTGGGGTTTTAAACAGCACTTCTACTCACCGCCACTTATAAAGTATCCTGACTACCTTAGTCTCTACCCAAGCTCCATCTTCTATCAGCCCTCCACGCCATGATTTTACATAAGACTGCCATTTTACTTGAAATTCTCATAGCATTCCACAGAAAACAGAAGAACGGCTTTACAGTTTAAAGAGAGAATAGGCAGAACCGCCACAATAAATCCACACGGGGATTGGAGTCAATGTAGATATTACAGTAACAATGCCAAGTGTATAGTCCACAGAGGTAAGCTTGGTACAAACACCCCAATTCAGGGATGACAGGGAGAGAATGTCGTGTGTGTGTGCATGCGCATGCAGGAAAAACTGAGGTTGAAAGAAGAAATCAGAGGAATTAGAGGTGAATTTAGATGCAAAGAAAACCGAGGCCCTCAAGTATGACCCTGTGCTGATCTCTGAATAACGAAAGTGAGAAGTGGATACGGTATCCATTTACGGGAGGTAAAGCTAGGGCAACAGGGATGCTAAAATGACTGACAGTGAGGGTAAGGTAGTGTGAGCGCTCCCACCATGCTAAGATTTGATCCGTGCCTGCAAAGCAGTCCAGAACACAGTGATATACATATACATACATGTATATATATAGAGTATGTGTAAATACATATTGCTTCATCTTGTTCTCACCTTAGTCCACAAATTCTCAAGAGAGCTCCTTGCATGCCCAGTCTCTCTCTTTGTTAGCTATAGCCAAGTATTCTTCTGGAGAATGGACACACACACACACTGCTCATGCATGCACCCACATGTACACATGCCCACATGCGCGCATACACACACAGACACGGACACCACTAATGCATGAACACACACGTATGCCTGTGTGCATGCATGTGTGTGTGCACATGGACACTGCTCATGCATAAACACACACACATGTACACACACACGTGCGTGCATACACACACATGCATACACACATACACACACTGAGGCAAATGTGTGCAGCATCTGCTAAGACAGGCCCCTGGGCTGGAAGCTCCTGGAAATCTAGAGACGAGCAAGCGATGGGCCTGTCCTCTGCAGTGTCCCTGTCGACCACACACAAACCATCACCACAACAGCACACAGACACAAAGAAAAGCAGTCACCACTGTCTGGCAAGAATGGACCACAAAGCTCACCCAGATTCATGTGTACCTGCACTTGTTAGTGTCAAGGTATGCCCTGCCCCTTCTCTGTAACTAGGTTCTTGAAAAATAATCTATAACTTCCATTTGCCAGATTACTACGCCATCTGCTTAACCAACATATGGATCTCCAAGGCAAAAAGTGGCATTTCTCCAGAAATATCGAGGACAAAGCTTAAATGTAAAGCCTAGTTGTAAAGCTCTGAGTTGGAGCCAAGCTCCGTAACTTAGCTGGTAAAAATGAGGTGACGGACAGGCACCAAACGATAGCCAAGTGGCTAAAAAATATTGGAAATAAATGTTAATTTTTTTGTGTGTCTGAAGTCTCCAGGGATGCCAAGCGTCAGAGATGCCGAGAGTCAGGGATGCTGAGAGTGAGAGAGTGGAGCAGGCTTTCTTGTGTCTTGACCCAAAATGTGAGAGAGCACTACTTTGAGTGGGAATACCCGAGAGCGAGTCCTGGCATTAGCATAAGAGGCGTCCTCTCATGCATTCTGTGGTCTTGGCAAACATTTAGAGAATCAAAGCTTAATACTTTAAATCTCTGTCAAAATTAATTACCTGTCATAAATATCTTCCTCCCCCTCCTACACACTAACCACTGCCTTGGTTCAGGAAAGTAAATCGAATTTCACTCTGGTCTAATGGCAACAGATGGCTCTCATATTAAATAATTTGAGTTATCTGACAGTAGCAGCATCCTGTTCAAACATTTTTGTTATCTCCCATCATCGGCCAAACCAAGAGTACCAGTGCTTCAGCTAGGCAGAGGCTAGCAGGAAGATGCCAATCACCCAGGAAACAACTTCAAGCATCAACCTTGTTTCTTGGATACAGGATTTCCAAGTATTCTGCTGACTAACCTGGTTTCTGTAGTCAAGGCCTTCTATTTCATTGTATAAGTGAGGCTCATTTACACTTAGTGCGGAAGCCTTCCCTCACACATGTCTGGTCTTCATTTCCAGACGGAGAGATAATTCTGCAACCCCATGCGGAGGATGGAAAAAAACCCAGGAAGAACCCACAAAGAATGTTCCTTCCAAAGGGAGCATTTTGGGAAGCAGAGATACAAGAAATCAGCCTCCCTCTGGCACAAGGTTTGCTGACCGAAAAATCATACCATGATGACAGCTATGTTTCAAAGCTTGCAGAAGTCTCTGAAGACTGGAGCGCTCTGCCAGGGAGAATTATGAGCTGGGAAAGTGCTTGCATCGTTGTGCTCCAAAAGCTTCCACTAAGTATTCCAAACAACGTGACAACAAACGCAAGAGCCACACAATGTGGGAAATACTAGCACCCTGTTCAGGTGCTAGAGAGCTCCCTTGCATCCTGATGATTGCCTCTCTGCATGGAACTCCTGGAGCAGCTCCCAGTCCCTCTCCCATGATCCTTTCTGCTCTCCATCCTGACCCTACGTGTTCACTCTGCTTCTGTTGTGATTCATAAGCCTTAGTCACAGCTGCTGGGAACACACAAGGAAAGCTGGAATCTCCTCGGCCCGGCGTATACCGTCTCCTAAAATTTGACCGGCTTACCTTGTAATCACATGGCTGCTTCCCTCTGCTATGAGTCGCCTTTGGACACCTGATGCTCTAATAATAGCTCACTCCAGCAACCCAGCAGCCGTCCTTCTTCTTTCTCAGGCTGCCTTCTCTTCCCCTTTCCCACTCAACCCACAAGCAGAATGACAGCTGTCTTTCAAAGCTTGCAGAGGTCTCCAGCCAATCACCGAAGACTGGAGCGCTCTGCCAGGGATAATTATGAGACATCCCTATGTCTCTCTATTTATCCACAATCCTCCCCAAATTCAAGACCTAGCTCAAGGAATTCCAGGACTTTTCTCTTTTTTTGGTGGTGGTGGGGGGTTCTACAGGATCTACAGGTTTTCTACAGGGAAAACACTATTTGCCACAAAAATCTAATGCATCATCAAGATCACACAGTCCAATCCTTTACCCAAATCTCTAACTATGTATGCTCCTTTCTCATACCTACTTATCTAACATGTAGGCTGCAAGCTTTTCCAAGCTAAAATCCTCATTTGATCTTTTCTTACATCACAAAGGAATATTTCGGCAGATACTCCAGATATTTTAGGCTAATAATAATAAACACATCCTCCTCAAATATATAAAATGCCTAGCAGGTGTGGCCCTTGGTGGGAAGTGATGAGAAAGAGGAGGGCATTCCCATGGGCAGTGGCTCTCCACCTCCCAGTGCCGCGACAGTTTAATACAGTTCCTCATGTTGTGGTGACCTGCCACCGTAAACTGCTTTCACTGCTATTCAGAACAGTAATTTTGCCACTGTTAGGAATGATGATGGTATCTAATATTCAAGATATCCGATACACATCCCCCAAAGGGGTTGGGACCAACAGGTTGAGAACCCCTGCCATACCCATGGGAGCTGCCCTATATACTGTGAATAAAGGCTAGGTGATGCTGGAAGATACCGGATCCCTTCACCAGAGAACTGCAGAGAGAAGAAGTCCCTCAGCAGAAGCAAACTCAGGGATGGGTAAGATGTCTGCTTGCAAGGTCTAGGGACTTTTTAAAAACCTGACAGACACAGTCTTCTTGGCTGTGTTGAGGGTCATTTTGGTTTGGTTCACACCAAAAAAGGCCATGAAAACACTATACACATTCAGATCCTGGCCTGGTTTTAACCAAGGGCTTTATTTTGATGGCTAATTTCAACTGCCCGTGTGGAATAACTCAGAGTGGTTTTCAAACCAGTAACAAAACTTCAGATAATTTTTTATTATTTCTTTCTACAGTCAACACTGTCCACAAATAAAGTAAAAGCATTTTATACTTTTTAACACAGTGAAACAAACTGTAGACCTTTTACACAATATATTCCGAAGCATATAGCTAGGAAGCACCTGAGTATATTAAAAAGTGGCTTTCTCAAAAATATCGCTCTCATGTGATTTTAAGTGCTGTGCCAATAATTGCTAATAAAGTCAGAAGGAATCTGATCTGGGACAGAAGGTATTTCAATACAGCATAGTATTCTCAAATGAATCACATTTAAATAGAGTTTGAGGATATGATGGTGAGCGTACTTGGCAAACACAAGAAAAAAGTGAAGGACCTACCTTGTGTCTGTTTCCTGTTCACAGCATTATCAGCTTTGTGCCGTTTCTAAAGTTGAGAACAAAACAAAACAAAAACCTCAGTGAAAAAGTGAACGAGTTTAGGTAAAATGGCACTCACAACCAACAAAGGTCCTTTAACTTATGTTCTCCAGCTTTTTATATTTCTGCACTCATAGACAGGGGTGTTGCTAGACCGTCCACAAAACCCCTCCCTGAGAGTACAAGCTTGGGGCCCTCAGAAAGTTCTTAAACAGCAAACAGGTAGAATAACATTTTAACGTTACTAGAAAAAACATGAAGCAAAAGCCTGATTTAGTCTACTGCTTAAATAACTCACGTAGATCGCCCAAGAGAATTATCTATACTAACTGCCATTTAATAATGGGACTGAAGTATTTTCAGCTTTTTCTGAGACTCATTATCTGATTAAGCTGAGTACATCCTCCATAATTTGAAGATGTGCGGATGTCTGCCGACAGCTAGAAACACATTCATCCTCCCCTTTTACTACAGCCTGTCTTCACGGCCCCACGGGACCACCACGTGCAACAGACGCCACCGAGCAATAGCCGCTATTCTTCTTCCTCCCAAAGCACCCACAAAAGGAAACGGTGAGCAGATGATTTTTAAGTTGAGGCAGGTGAGGTTAAAGAGTTACATAAACTAAGACTGCAGAAGAGTAAGAGAAAGAAACAGAAGGCCAGAGGAAAAGTGAGACGCTCATGGCCAGTGGCCACTCTAGGGGCACGATCTCTTCTGTAGTTCAACCGGAGGTTTCCTGTGGCTTCGGTCTAAACTTACAGCACGGAGAGAGACACACCAGACTTGGGCAACAAGGCAGCCAAGTGTTGAGAGTAAACTAATCCTTTGCTCAAAGGCCCTGCCTTAGAAAGCCAAGGCTTGCATCTTGTGAGAGCTGAGGACAAATGCAGGTGCTAAGCTTTCCATCCGAGAAGAAACTACGGTATTGAAGCTTCGTGAAAATAACTGCCCAAGAGAAACGTGTAGAGTCGGCGCTCCCAGGAGCCACCGCTGTATCTGAGACAGTGGAGGAAGAGGGGACACTGTGGACTCAAGTCGCCAAAGTACGACCTGAACTGTGCAACAAACAAACAGCACCCAAGTCTCTCCTGTGCGGAGCTGTGGAACAGGATACACACATATCTACATGGCACATCTTTCTCAGCGCAAACTGTGCACAATAAATGTGTAATGGTGGAGAAATCTCTTGGGCATATTACTGCTTCCAAAGAAAGTATAATTTGCTAGAATATTGTTTGAAATAAAGGAAAAAAACTTTTTGTACTTATATTAACCACAAAAAAAAATACAATCGTAAAGTTCAAACTACTTTCTGCCGCTGTTTCTTTTGTAATAGAGATGACAAGAAATTTTGAAAGTAATTCATAATAAGCTTGGTTCAAGAAACTCTTTTAAAGTTCAAGGTAAATTTAGATAGTAAAAGAAGATATATCTTTGCTTTCCCCACATACATCTATGATGGACAAGGGTTAGACTCCTAACTGGTGGAGATAAAGGTTAATTAATGGAACATTTCATATCAAACAAGAAATGAAACTTTATGAAACTTTATGTGGCCTTGGACATTAGTTTTCACCTACAAAAAATTCTTAACCCAGGCCCTCTCTGTCTCCAGCCTCCCCCCAGTTAACAAACTAGATCAGTGTCCAGCTCCTAACTTTCCAAAGGCAAGGAATTTACCATTTGAATGATAAAGATATTATTCCTTCTAAAACTAAAAGTTCACAAAATATAGTTATTCTCTGATTCCAAATGCTACTGTCTTATAATCAAAATTCAATCACTATCACTGCGAGATGGTGGAATGTTTGCTGTTTTGATTTAGGATAGGAAGTTCATCAACAAATGGCATCCTATGAACAGAATTAGTTCCCTGACAAGACTGGAAGCGTCATGGTAAATTCCATCTGAGGAAAGGAAGCTGAGGCTTTGAGAGGTCATGGAATTTGTCTAAGAAGGTGATGGACTCAAACTCCTTGCTCATGAAACCCTTTTGTCCCCAGGCATTGTTTTCCAAATTCACTTGGTCCCTTCTTCAGAGATGCGGATGACCAAGGTTTAGTCCCTGCCCTCTCTCACTTCTACCCTACATTCCTTACTTAGCTCAACTCTTTCACACCAAGATTACCATTGGGGCTGCCTAGAGTCCATACCCACATCCTCTCTCCTTCCCTCTGCTCTCTCTGGGTCTGTCTCCCTCTCTCTGTTTCAAAGGGGCCTTGAACTATGTCCATGCTGGAATGTTACCTTATCAAAGACAAGGAACCATGAACCCACTACACATACTCGGTTTTATGAATCAGAAACTTAAAGCCACCCTGGACTTTCTTTTCCCTATTACTTTATCTGGCACCCTCTTTCTTTGCTAATCAATTATTTAGCAAGCACCCATCTAGTTCTTCTCCTGGATGTTCAGCTCCATCCAGGCTTCTTTCACTCATCCGCACATGCCTGATACTTGGTAGCTGCATCCCGCAGACTTTGAATAAGCATTCATTTTGCAATGACTGAAATCTACTAATGTTGAATAATTTTCTGGCTTAAAAGAAAGAGTGTTTTTATGGTTTTGAATATGGCTTTATGGTTTTGTTAAGCCAACTTAACAGACAACTCTAATTCTGATTTGTACCACAAGAATTAGAACTTATGATAAAAATTTGGAAAGAGATTTCCATCAATTTTGAGGTTTCAGGTGTGCATATGTTATTTTTCTTTACAACCAAAAAAAAAAATTCATTACATTAAGCTATGCAAAGCATCAGGAGTGGGGAAGTCTTCAGTACCTCACATATAGATACACTTGATTTTATTCTAAAATGTAAAAGCAACGCTGATATAGTCCTAGACCACAAGCTGTGTTTTATTTCTGAGGCATAAGTGGAAGACATAATTAACCCTCACAAACATCTAGTTCCATACTGCCACAGATGTGAAAAGAGCATCTCTGTTGCCGTTGGTTCTAACACCTGCAGACAGATGTTGTAAACCACTGCCGGCCCAGACCCTTGAGAAGTGCTGTCGCTCCTCCCCCACCCTTCTCTGCGACAGTGAACCCTGCCATTCTCTCCAGCAGAGATTTAATTCAGTTTGCAAACCCAAGTGACCACATTTAACAAAGCTACTTTCTTCCTGTCTCTAGCAACCGCAATGCCTTTCAGGAAATCGATAACAGGCAAATATTAAGCCACTGACATACTGAATATGATCAACAGACACATCCTAATCTATACCCTAAGCGATGACAGGCATCTAAGCAGTGTCCTTTTATTTCTGTCGTCCCTCTAGGCTCTGTGAAAATACGATGCCATGATAGTTCTTTGTCCAGCTACCTAAACTATTACTTATTTTGTTGTCTCCTCAGGTATTTTTTTTCAAACTTTCTGTAAATGTGTCGTTGAATATACACCACCTGTTAAACAATTCCTACAGCCAGTGTCTATGAATAACAGTGATTTCGCTAGTAAACTCTGCCGAGTGACATCACTACTGTCTCACGATGCGATGGGTATATTTTCAAAGGGCTGTCTGATTAGTTTCTTCCTAACGATATCCAGTTCGTGCATTATGCTCTATCAAAAAATACTTCTTGGATACAATTTTATTTTCAAAGACAGCATCTACATACCACAGTTAGAGAAATTAGAGCTTTACTATGAAACCAGAGAGAAGATGGACGAGGTGTCTTAGATGTCTCAGATGAGGGCTAACACGCAAGGCTCCATTCAAATTGCCATGACTGACCTATGACACTGGCTCTCAGTGGTTGACCTCAGGCAAGCGACTTAGCCCTTCTGACTATTCTTTCTCATTTGGACACTGAGGAAAGCAGTATCACCTCAGAGGTGCGCCACACACACTTATAAACATAAGCAACAGGGACCAAGCACACCGAATCCAGAAGCACAGTAAACCTCCCTGCTGGTGACTCTGTCCTGAAAGCACAACTGAGACGGAATTTTGATGTCACCACATTCTTGGACAAGGTCTCCGGCCTCTCAAAGCCTCAGTTTCACCACTTTTTTTTTTCTTCCAAATTTCGTATTTTAAAATCCATGAGTTTTTTTAAAAAAAAAGACTAATTGATATTTTAAATTATATGCATGACTGTGTGTCTGTGTGAGTATGCGCGAATGAAACCAGGTGCCTGCCCACAAAGGCGAGGAGAGGCGATCAGATCCTCTGGAACTGAGTTACATGCGATTGCCAGCTTTCTGACACTGTGCTCGGAAACACACTCAGGCCCTCTCTCTGCTGGAGCAGTACACATCCTCGGAAACACACTCAGGCCCTCTGCTGGAGCAGTACACATCCTCGGAAACACACTCAGGCCCTCTCTCTGCTGGAGCAGTACACATCCTCGGAAACACACTCAGGCCCTCTCTCTGCTGGAGCAGTACACATCCTCGGAAACACACTCAGGCCCTCTCTCTGCTGGAGCAGTACACATCCTCAAGCACCGAGCCATCTCTCCAGATCCAGCTTCCATGCTTTAGATGGAGAACTGTTGAAGGCATCAAGCGAAAAACAAACAAGCAAACCCAAAGCCAATAGCACAATGCCCAATGAATCACACGTGTTCCAGAAGAAAATCAAGTTAAAGAAAGAAAAGAGCAAAAAGAAAGAGTCAAGTTTTGGTGAGGACCAGTCCCCAGGGCTTCCCAAAACAGCCACAGCTTAATGAAAGTCAGCGGAACACACGAAGTAAAGAGAATTCCTTCAATCTCCCTGCGTGTGGGCCCAAGCAGTATATCACCAATCAAGAGCACCACTGTGTCTTACACACACACACACACACACACACACACACACACACACACACACAGAGTTATGTATCCTCAGCATCTACTGTTAGCTTCTTAGAGCCTTGAGACCACCAATGCAATGCCCAATCACTTCAATTCTTGCAGGCCACGTGAGTCTATGTTTTTTCTCTTTTTAATAATATTAATAAAGTCATGTTGCAGAAGCAATGCTACTATTGGTGAAATGTGAGGCTGTGTGTTTATAAAGACTTCCTCAGCCTCCTTCACCCAATCTGACTCTTCTAAAGCCCAATGGGAGGTCATTTTTAGACATGCAAAGAAGTACTGTATAACAACTGGAATCCTAAACAACCCACTGTGTAAAACACAACGTTGGCTCTATCAGATAAGACAGCTAAAACAGGATACAGAAAAGGTCTAAAGTTATTTGGGGGAATTTATTTTACAAAGGGAAACTGACTTCCTCTTTCCTACCATGGAAGCTAAAAATAACAAACTTACTGCTACTTTCTTTCAATAAGACAAGATAAATGGAAAGGAAACTCAGAATACTAAAGTAGAATGAGAAGAAACTGAGGCATCTAACAAGGTAAAAACCACAATATTTAACTTTAAAAATAAAAAGTACAAATAAAAATCTTTTATATTTAATTTGGAGATTATTTCAATTAATTGGAAACTGTTCAAATACAATTTTATCTTCAAGCCAATAACTATATTTAGTTTCAGTTTCTTTTATAATAAATTATAAACTGAAGAGAACACTGTATCAAGAATTTCTTGATATTAATCTGTTAGAAATGACTTCCAATTCTATTCATTTTTAACTTGAATGGGCATTTTAAAGGGCCTATACTGCAAATTAAGTAGCCTAAGAAAATAAAATTAATATACATTTGAGGCAGTTTACATATGAAAAATTGAATACTTACAATATCTTCTATTATCTCTTTGATAGCTGCCACAGCTAAAATAAATAAGAGAGGAACCAGTGTTGTGTAACGCCCTGTTGGTGACACATCGGGTATTTGCTGAATAGGAAAAAAGGTAAGATAACTGCAGTGAGAATCAGAATGGCTATCAAATACCTAAAAGAACAAAATCACAAGGTCTTCTCAAACATTCCTCGCTGATCTTACTAGTACTGGGTGAAGAATCTGCAGAACACGTTAATTTGCTTGATTATAAACATACAGTACATCACGTTAACACAGTGTAAGACCAAAAAAAAAAAAAAAGGCAAAGTCCATAATACAACACATTGCCATCAAAATGATGACTTAGAAACACAATAAGTATTTGCAGAAATGTCTACACATCTAACATGAATAAATCAGGTTATAAAATAATGCTTATTTCATTATCCCTTTTTGTTATCTAAATCAGAAAATAATGCTGGGGGCCGGAAAGAGGACCAGAGGACGATACCCCAATTTCAAGAGCAGTTACCCCTGGTGCTGTAATGATTGGTTTAATTTTTCTTTGTGCTTTGCTGCATTTTCAACTCCGTTTGCTAACAATGAACATTTGCTATTTTTTAAAAATATTTATTTATTTATTATGTATACAATATTCTGTCTGTGTGTGTGCCTGCAGGCCAGAAGAGGGCACCAGACCCTATTACAGATGGTTGTGAGCCACCATGTGGTTGCTGGGAATTGAACTCAGGACCTTGGGAAGAGCAGGCAATGCTCTTAACCTCTGAGCCATCTCTCCAGCCCAACATTTGCTATTTTTGATGCAGTTTTTCTTCTTAAGACGTTTATAACAGCTAACCTTAAAAGCTATTTTGTAAGTGATAATTTTTATAGTGAGTCATTCAGTATTAATACTTTTACTGAAATATAACCAACTGGACAATTTGGGGAGAAAGTCTCTATTCCCTTCAATACCGACAACGAACACTTGATGACACTGAATTTATAGATCATATCAAATATCCGAATAAGCATGAACCCAAGGCTCTGAGGGGGGAAGAGCCTGATACTGTGGGCATGTAGCAGCACCAGCAGCAGGGACTATGCACTATGGCCAGCTCATAGCTCAGCTTTTCTACAAGCCTCAGGGTATTGGTGGAGGATTTAACAAAGCCTTTCCTCCTTCCTGCACACTGGCTTTGAACAGAGGTTTGAAGATGGATGGAACTTTACCTGGAGCAGGGCAATAAAGAGGAAGAACGAATTCGCCGCTCTTCTGAACTGAGAGTAGAGGAATCTTGGCAGGAATGTGATCACGTTGTATTTTGCAGTACTAGAAAGCAAAACCACAAAGACGCATAGAGCTTAGCTCCTCTGCAATTAGCACCCGTGTTTTCAGAGTTCTGCTCCCAGCGCAGGAGCAACCAGAGGACAGCAGTTGTTCACAGTTTCAAATTTGGAAACTATAGCGAGGATTGTTAATGTACATGCAAAAGAGGGAAAGGAACGGGCTAAACAGCCAAAGCTGAATCCCACAGGCTTTGTTTGTCTAGAATATCACTTGTCTTCCCTGGTCAGTTATCATGCTGAACAGTACCAGGAGTAGCTTGTAAGGAAGGACAATTTTAGATAAGACACTGCACATCATATCAACAGAAACATCGGCCTTTGACAGGGCAGACAGTGGACACAGCTTCCTAGATAACCAGGCCAACAGCTTTTTCTGTTTTTCCTGTGCTGTCTCTATGACCATGCTAGGAACATGGCGAGGACTCCGCACTGCCCAGAGTCAATAAGTCAAGAACACATTGGTCTTGGTGACATCTAGATCTTCTTTCCTTTTGCTAATAAATAGGGGGAGATTAAAAACCCATGCCATACACTTCAACAGAGATACATCGAGAGGATCTGTAATCCTGTAAATGGGTACATCTCAAATATGGTAAACCTGCCCCTGGAGACAACCAGGCAGCACTTGGGGTGTTTATGTGGTCCAAAGCTACTTAGAACCTATAGTTTATGTGGAATTGTTTCATGACTATTGAAACTGAAACCCTATGGTTTGCGGTAAGGAAGGCATTCTCGAAGCATGCTGTATTGCGCATGCTATATTACAACTATCCAAACCCATACTTTAAGACTCTAGCTAAAACAAACAAACCAAACCTCCAAAAGTTCTTGGTATAGAATTGCAAGAATTGCTCCTAAGCTGTTAAAACTTGGCACGGAAAAATAATACACTGCTACATTAACAGGTTTAGGGAAAAGACAACCCGCCCATGGGCAGCTTTGATTAGTCATCGTTCCTGGAGTATGGGTGCTTGCCCCTTCTGCTCCTTCCTACATCCAGGGGCTTTTGATCTTATCCTTTTCCTTTCTTTTGTTTGAGAGGCTGGTAATTGACCTCAGAGCTTTATAAATGCTAGACAAAAGCACTCTACCATGAGTCATGCCACGGCCTGCGTTTCTTTCCTGGAGGGAAGGCAGTAGAATAGCAGAACGTCCTACCTGGGCTGAGAGCTCCTGGTAACTCACCTCACCAAACCCCTCTGAAACAGGGTTTCTTTCTCTGCGTAGCCCTGGCTGTCCTGGAACTCACTCTGTAGACCAGGCTGGCTGTGAACTCACAGAGATCCATGTGTCTCTGCCTCCAGAGTACTGGGAGTCAAGATGTGTGCTACCATACTTGGCAGGATTTTCTTCCCACCCATCCTGCTCTACCATCCTGTCCTCCCATGCCTACCCCCAGCCCGTCCTACCTGACGTGATTGTTGCAGAATTTTGTCAGCTGAGGCTGGTTGATGAATATGGTTCTTACTTCCTCCTGATCAGCCAGCGAGGTCTTCTCTGAAACATCATCTGTCTTCTCGTAACCTGAAAGAAACATGCTTCTTAGCGGACAAGGAATGTTTCGATATTCGGGCAGAGGTGGTGAATGCATTTAATACCAGCACTTGGGAAGCAGAGGCAGGCAAATCTCTGAGTTTAAGGCCAGGCTGGTTTACAGAGTGAGTTCCAGAACAGTCAGGACTACACAGAGAAACCCAGTCTCAAAAAACAAACAAACAAACAAAAAGAAGTGTTTTATTTTAATACCCTTCTTCAGACCAGACCTATATTTCAAATCAATTCTCCAATGTCAAGTCTGACAAGAGCACATGCTTCCCCCCAACGGCGGTATTCCTTTTATAACAAAAAGTAAAACCCATATAATTATTTTGTTAAGAGTGCCATTTAATACTTATTTTAAAATGATACATTTCAAAACCAATAAGATTTATTCATCCATTCTAAATGAATGTCTTAGTCTCTTCCATTTTATAAAAAGATACCCCAAGGTCAATAATTTTGGACTAGTTTAAGTGACAGCTTAGGTAAAATTCAAACACAGTATTCTAAAATATATATTTTAAAATTTAAACATCATATTGGATATTTTGGGGTCTTTTTTTCTTTTTGGATGAAAATAGAAAAAGTTTAATATTAAGGTTTAAGTAGGCAATCGTCAGTGATCCCTCTACACTCATCTCATCATTCTTCCAATCAGAAGCAAGATTTCTAACTTCATTCTCAAGACCATCACACAACTGTTAAACTGCCCATGGTCATGCAACAAATGCAATCAACGTCTCCTAAGACGCCCCTTGCTGCAAGACTGACAACACACCCCCCCTCAAAAAATATAGGTCATAGAACTGACAGAACAGGAGAATGTTTAAAGGGCTCATTGTTATTTCCTAGAGAAACCCAGAAGGTGGGGAATGAAGGGGCTACTGCCAAGACCTTGAGCCCGATCCCTGGCACCATAGCAAAATTAAGCAAGCAAACAAACAGCAGTGAATTAAGTTAAAGCCTTCTTCCCCTGCAGTGAAGGACAACAATAACATTCTACAAAAATCCATTTATCTTCACTTTCCACCTTTCGGTGCCAGCTCTTCCCATGCAACCTGCTGACATGTGGCCTTCTGAAGGGTTCTGCAGTGCTGAAGCCAGGGAAGCCGCTCTGGGCTCACAGCCACTGGGGCCAACTCCTCCCCCACAGCACTCTTACCAAGAGGCTTTCCGGCTCTCTGGTTACCAGTCAGGCGCCCCCTACCAGAACAGGAGCCGCCTGGGGCTGTAGACGGTGAGCTATTCATCTTCTCCACAAACAGCAGGCACTCAACAAATGTTTGCCCAATAAATACACCCCAAATGACAAAGGAGTGGTTGTCGCCACTGCCCCATTTGGAAGGCAAGAGAAAACTCCTCCACCTACTGATAAAGATACTGATAACAAGAGCTAGGTCAGACAAACGGTACAAACAAGCTTGCCTGTGAGGCACAGATATGGTAGGAGACACAGTGAAATGCTAAGAAGGGGAAGCAGCCCCGACTGAGATGGGCAGGGTAGGGGTGGACTGGACGTCATGCTGAGGAAGCACTCAGGCCAGCTCAAAGAGGGTTCTCCGTGCTGAGAAAGCAGTCTGAAGTCTAGTCTCTGCCTGGCAGGGAGCCACTAAGAGCTTTCCAGGATCAGAGTTACAGTCCACCCCAGCATCCCGAAGGTCACAGCTCCAAGCTATGCTCAATCACACCTATTCTTTCAGTTCTATAGAAAGGTCAGTTTTGCCCAACAGTCACGGTCTATTGCGACATCATATTTCAGATGCGACACAAGCTTCACCCTCTGCTTTTGCATTATCCTAATCTCACAGAGGGATTGGGGCATGGGTCAGTTGGCGAAACAAATCACTGTGCAAGGGTGAGGACCCGAGTTTAGAAATCAAATAAATGCAGAATGGGCGTGGCAGTACACCTGTAATCCCAGCATGCAGGAGGTAGAGACAAGAGAGTCCACGAGCCAGCTAACAAGCTAGTCAGGCTGAATTGTCAAGCTCTGAGATCAAATGGGAGACCCTGACATTATATTATATCTAATATAATAGATAATAAGGGAGCGATTGATCGAGGAAAAGAACCCGCATGCCATTCTCCTCATGAACTTTGATAGCTGTTCCATGTACACCCCACAGCTGGCTTCTAAGTACATATTTGTGTTATTTTCTTCAAGGCAGGGTCTCATGTCATCTGGTCTTGAACTTGGTGTTTCTCAGAGGATGACCTTGAGCTTCTGATCCTCTTGCCTCGTCTCCTGGACCCTAGGATAACCAGTCTATGTGATCTATCATCAGTCATGAAGGTCTCATGATGAGCCTGGGGGTACAGTGGTAATAAAGGCGATCCAAGAGGGAAGCATCCTGCATCTCCACCCTAGCGAGGTCAAAATTAAGATGGCATGGAGATACCAGGTTCCTTTCCACACACAGTTTCATCTCTGCTTTTAGAAGAGAAATGATAGCCGGGCGGTGGTGGCGCATGCCTTTAACCCCAGCTCTCAGGAGGCAGAGGCAGGCAGATCTCTGTCAGTTCAAAACCAGCTCGGTCTACAAGAGCTAGTTCCAGGACAGGCTCCAAAGCTACAGAGAAACCCTGTCTCGAACCCTGACCCCCCTGAAAAAGGGAACAAAATGAAATGATGTCAATTAGGAGTAGTTTGGTAACCCAGGGGGCTTGCTTATTAGTGATGTGTTTGGTACAAGAGAATTGTCTGTAATTGGTCAATCATATTTTAAATAAATGCTGATTGGCCAGGCAGGAAGTATAGGTGGGAAAACCAGACAGGAAGTAGAGGTGATGCAATGAGAACAGGAGAATTCTGGGAAGCAGGAAGCTCCCTCTACCATTCCTGTCCAGATCACTGAAGAAACAACATGTGAGCCGACAGCTGAAAAAGGTACCAAGCCATATGGCTAACATAGATCAGAATAATGGGTTAATATAAACTACAAGAGTTAACAAGAAGCCTGAGCTAATGGGCCAATCAGTTTATAATCTTATGGAGTTCTGTGTGTGATTTTCTTTGGGGCTTGCCGGCTGTGGGGTACTGGGAGGGACAGAAACCCCAACAAGACGGCCCTTATGTTACAAATGTTACATGTGTTCATTTAAGCCATTAAACTTATTAGAAGTTATCAATCTACCTGTCCAGACTCCTAAATTTCCTTAGGAGTCTGCCACCTTTACAGGAAGAGGAAGAAGTTTGAAGCTGCTGTTTTGGGATGAGTTCTCATTTAGCTCTCCTGGTCAGCCAGGCCTTCTCAAATCACTGAAACCATGATGACGTTGAAACTGGGTTGGAGAGAGAAATGCATGACTATCACACTCTCTAGCATCAGAGAGAAACGCATCCCTATCACACTCTCTAGCATCAGAGAGAAAGGCATGGCTATCACACTCTCTAGCATTAGAGAGAAAGGCATGGCTGTCACACTCTCTAGCATCAGAGAGAAATGCAAGGCTATCACACTCTCTAGCATCAGAGAGAAATGTATCCCGATCACACTCTCTAGCATCAGAGAGAAACACATTGCTATCACTCTTTAGCATCAGAGAGAAATGCAAGGCTATCACACTCTCTAGCATCAGAGAGAAATGCAAGGCTATCACACTCTCTAGCATCAGAGAAATGCAAGGCTATCACACTCTCTAGCATCAGAAAGAAATGCATGGCTATCACACTCTCTAGCATCAGAGAGAAACGCATCCCGATCACACTCTCTAGCATCAGAGAGAAATGCACCCCTATCACACTCTCTAGCATTAGAGAGAAATGCATGGCTATCACACTCCCTAGCATTCTTGGCAGTTTTCCCTGCTATAAAATTGCACGAGGGAACACAGCACTCATGCAATCAATGGAAATCTACCCTAAAGTATTGGTTTACTGTTTCTGGGACCTCCTCAGTCACCTGTCATCTCCAGGTTAGTACCGAGAAGGTCTTGATTGAACTTGGAAACCAAAATCTCATTGAACATATATCTGATAAATGTCAAGGCAAACAATAAGACATATTAGGCATTTATTCTCATTAGTATCCTAATTTGCAAGACAGAAATATTGCATGTCCATCTCCCGCAATAATGAGTATAAGATGACAGAGGCTGTACATAATGCTTATAAAATGCTTGATATTAGCTGGGTGGTGGTGGCACACACCTTTAATCCCAGCACTCAGAAGGAAGAGGCAGGCAGATCTCTGTGAGTTTGAGGCCAGCCTAGTCTACAGAGCGAGTTCCAGGACAGCAAGGACTACATAGAGAAATCCTGTCTCAAAAAACTAAAAATTAAAATGCTTGATATTTACCAAGGATATGATAAACTAATCTATGGTGCTTGAAGAATGGGCTGGGGTGGATGAATTCAGAAGACAGGTCTCAGAGAAGGGAAGGCGGTCACAGTGTCTCAGAGTGGCAACTCCTTCCTGGTAGTGCAATTGTGAGCTCATCTGCTCCCCTTGCTACATGGAAGGTTTCCTGAAGATTCCACTGGATTCTCACAAGTTGTCTGATGAGTTCACAGGAGAGCGAAGCCCCATCAGCAGTATGTTGAGAACAGATCTCTTTTTACAAGTCCCTGCAAGCTCCCCAAATTTTTAAGATGCATAAATGCAAACTTGTTAATCAATTTATGATGTGAGACAGTGTCAGAGGGACTGGAGGAACTAATGCCCCAACAGAAGAATGCTGAACAAGTAACATATTCCGTAGAGTCACCTGCCTCCTGTAAAGGTATTAAAATTCATAGCAACCCTTAGGACTGCAGGCAGGTGGTGAGGGATGCTAGTATATTTTAACACTGTAGAATCACTGAACCACGGTTCCTATAGCACTGTTTCTAGACTAACAGAAACCTCACAGCTGAGCTGATTCGCCTAAGCTGGCCTATCTGGAAAGTCAAGTGAGTCACCATGTATTTCGTGAGAACGCAACTCAGCCACTGGTGAATGGATGAAACAGGAATCCACACCTTGGGCTCACACCACCTGATGTACTTAATCCCACAAAGGGCAGTCTCCAGTCTGTTGAAGACTCTGAAAACGGGACTATGATACGGCGGGTCTGTTGCTTACCAGTTTTCCTGCACAGAGCTGCCAGTGTGTAACTCAACTCACCCAGCCCCGACTGGCCACCTTCTCCAAATCCAAACTGCCATCTAATCTTTTGGTGGAATTCAAACCAAAGTCTAGGAACCAATACATTCCTAGCAGATGACTCTGCTCCTGTCATATGTTGAGGGGAAAAGGAGCGAGGGAGAGAAAGCGAGAGAAAGCGAGAGAGGGGATGCTCATATGCATATTTCCCCCAAAGTTCCTGGAGGTGCATCATCACGGCTGTCAAACACGAGCATAACTGTAGCTGCATACTACTCTTTCTAATGCTTTTATAGGACCAATGTTTTATTTTTAGACGCCAGCCTCAGTATCAATACCATCACTGTTTTGAACTGCCTCCAGTACCATATTCCTTCACACACACACACACACACACACACACACAAAATCTCATATTGAACAGTGAGTTCTTGCTGCAAAAAGGATTTAATTTTGCTCCTATTTATAGCTTTGCCTACCAGTGTAGCAAACACAGTGCTGCAGAGACACACTTTTTCAGCATATTTTGGAGTTTCTAGAATCACTCAGGTATTCATTCCCAGGTCCTAGGTGCTCAGCTAGACACTTGACAACTACTAATATAATTAGTTTCTTAAAAACAAAACCAATTACTTTTGAGAATTTTATATAGGTATACAATGACATATCTACCTCTTATTTGCCTCTATATTCCTTCCATAGTGATTTCCCTCCCGCTTCACCCTGATCCTCGTAACACACCAAGTCCAATGAGCATTGTCATATGCGCATGAGGGTGGAGCCATCCAGGGGAGCATGGGCACCTTCAAAACAAATTGTTTCTTCCTCCGCAGTAGGGGTGGGGTCTGGAAAGCGCTTCCCTACTTATCTGGTTACATGAAAATTTCTACAAAGCAAACTGGCAAGCCGTGGTCCTCCTTTACTACAGCATTACTATTACTACTTTAATAGTAGCTCCAGAAAGAGCCTCCTTTGACATTGTACTTGCCAAGGTTTGTAGCTTTTTAAGGCCATCAGAGTCAAACCAGTTTTCCAGAATTCTGGTAGAGCTGTCACTGGTGGTTGAGATTTTAAATGTCCCTCAAAGCCCTGCTGTCAAATGCTTGGTTATTATCCTGTGACACTACTGGGAGGCAGTTAAAACTCTTAGAGAGGGAAGGACTTAAGGCCTGAGGGGAAACAGCTAGGTAATTAAGGATGTACCTCTGAAAGGGACATTACTACCTGGCTTGCTTTGCACTTCCTCTCTCTCCTTTTC